CTGTGAGCTGATCCATCCCTGCCCTTTTTGCGTGACTCAGCAAGTGAATTCTCATTCTTGTGATTCAAAAAAATTTAAGTGCTCTGGTCATTAATGAGGAAGTCTCAGGATATTTAGTTAAATCCCATCAAATTTATTTTTAATACTTCATTTAATTAATTAATTCCTTAATTGTATAGAACAATTGAATTAAGTGTATTTTCATTCTATGAGTTATGGTTTCCCCTCCCCAATACTTAGAATTGTCTGTCTTTTTCATTATTATCCATCAAGAGAAAATAGAATTAGATCACAAAAAAAAAAATTTGTATGTGCCAAATTTCAAATGAAGCCATTTTTGCTCCAGATTTTTTTCAGAGATGTGTGATCAGGACTTTCTTTTTCACCCTAGGAAAATCTGTAAAATTGTCATGAAACAAAATGGAAAGCTGAAGGTTTTAAAGGTTAATGTTTTGAAATTTCCTGTGTGTGGTATGGGAAGAGCTTTATCATTATTTGCAAACTTTATCACAAAAATTGCTGCAAATCATCCAATAACAATCCAGAAACAATTGTTTCAGTACTAAGTAGCATAGAATAAGAATAGCTTTATGCTGTAGGAGCCCTAGTTTTATTAAGATCTAGCTTGCTAGCACAGTGCAGAACTATTACATTTGCAAAACTGAATGAGCTGGTCAAAAGGCAGAGACTGGATTACATTGGTGGTTCTTTTCTTCTCTTCTGCTCCCCTCTTTTCTCTCTGAGGAATTCTTGTACAGTAATTTTTAGCTTCAACGTAGCCAACTATTAGCTTTCAACTTCCAAGAAGTTTTGATGGAAAATACAATAGTTTAATTTCCTGTTAATTTCTACCAAAGTACGAGTTGGGTAGATTTTACAGTATTTTCATTATGAGTGTGATACTGTGATATCAGACTCTTAACTAGTATAAATCAGCATAGATTCACTGAAGCTATTCCTGTTAAACTCTTTCCCATCTTAAGAATGATGAAGGAAAAATATCTAGACAAAAAAAAACATAATCTCAGTCAGAAAAATCAGAAAGGTAAGTATGTAGAAGAGGATGTAAAGTGTTTTCATTGGTATCTTATTAAATGAAGAGGAAAAAAAGAAACATATCCTGTATTGTTTAGAATTTGTCATCCTGTGAATTTATTTCATTCACTGAGTACCCCTGGATTTGGATTTAGGATCATATGTTAAGCCTCATTCTTTCTTTTTATATAATTTACCTTGTAAACTGTTTTTAAAGCATAGTTTCATGCTCTGTCAGAGTCTCACAATAGATTTTCTGTATTGTAAGACAATGTTTTTTCCTCATTATTTTTTAGAACTTATTTTGTCTTAACCTTTTATTTAAAATGTATATTCTGGGAAATATTTGAGATTATAAGAAAAAGAACTATTCTAGTGCTGTTTGTGTCCCTGACTGCATGTACATGATTAATTTTATTCTAATTAACTAGGTCATCTTGATTACACAGAAATGGCTCTGTGTTGGTCAATCTGTGGAGGGGCAGCGGCCCTTCAGTCAAGGTATAAATTATGTTTTGGACTTCCCCTCTATTGTCAGACTTGAGGAGATTAAAGAGCCGGATTTATATTTGTGACAGGGCTACATGGACCAGCAATACTGGAGATGCTCCTTCTCTCAGTGTGAGCTAGCAGGCGGCCTTATTCCTGGCCTTGGCTGCCCAGGCCAGTCGGGCCGGCCAGGCAGGGTCGTTTGTACTGGCCCCAATCTCAGAGCCTGCAGGTAGCTGCACCTTTACCGAAAGTCAAAGGCGAGAAGGGGAAGTTCAGGACCCAGAGCAAAGGCAGCCCGGTCCGTCAAACCCGAGCCGCCGCGGTCAGTAGTGGTCGCAGAGGTTTCAATTTCCGAGCCCGAGCTGCCTCCCTGCAGGGCAGGGGTGAGCCGCGAAACTGGCGGCTGGGTGATAAAGGCCGTTCCTTCCTTTCTCACTGGCATCGGGCCATTCAAATAAATAGGATGGAATCCTGGGCATTGCTATGAAAAAAGAAAAACCCCGGGGGGCATTGTTTTGATCGCTAATTCAAGGCGAAGGAAGTAGGACCTGCATTGCTGAGATTTAATCTCACGTACAATTTGATTAAAAAAAAAAGATTTTCTATTTCGCACGCTCTCTAACAGCCTAAACCGGACCGCCTGCAGTTTCCGCTCCGATGTTCGCACAGGGATGTCCCATGTTCGGTTTTGCTCCCGCGGTTCCCGGGCCCGCGCGCAGGGTGGCGCCGGCAGGTGGCGCTGTGGGCCCAGGCACGGCGCGCGCGCGGGCGGGCGGCGCTCCCTCCGCCGGCGGCCCCGCGCGGCCCGGGCTCCCCTTCCTTGCGCGGCCCGGGCTCCCCTTCCCTTCCCTTCACTTCCTTCCCCCGGCCCTCCGCTGTTTTCGGTTTCTACAGATGTGCTCTTTTGAATGGTTTCAATAAAATTTTATTGCCGTCATTTGAAAAATAGTGGAATTATTGTGATTTGTGCAGCCTGGCAGAGGAGAGCCCGCCGGGTATGGCCCCGGCCGGTGCTCCCCGTTCCGCGGGCTCCCCTCGGGTATCGTGTACCCCACCGCGATTCCAACGTGCCAGGTGGCACTGGAACTGAAGCTTGCAGCCTTTCCTTTTTTTTTTTTTTTTAACCCCACAAGTAAAGTGGCTCATCGTGGTTCTGTAGGAGACTGTATCTATATTTTTTTTCAGCCCCCCAAACGAACCCCCAAGCATTCCCTGCTCCCCACAGGGGCCCACAGCCAACCTGATCTGGGCGGCGAGGGGACACACCAGGCTGGAGTTGGCTGCCTGGGAGTCTCTAAGCACCAGCGTGAAGTAGCAGACATTACAACACAGGCACGTTTTGTGAGAGGGCAGAAGTAACTCTGTGGCTAATAGTTGTTCTTTATACTGCTGCAAGCCTTCAGTGTTTCCGAGCACCCTTTTGAAGGCATACAGACATCGAGTACTGCAGGCAGATGTTATACGTGTCTGTCTCCATAAAATACATGACGCATATACAAGAGAGAGCCTTTCTTCTTTTTTTTTTTTTTTTTTTTTTTTTTTTTTTTTGTGTGTGTGTGTGTGTGTGTGTGTGCTTACCATATCACCTTGTCTCTCAAGGACAGCACATTGCTAAAATGCAGGCAGAGATTTATTGGAGGGACAAGAAGGACTTTACCCCTCCTGCTCCTCTCCCCGTCAGCTCACGTCTCCCACTCCTCTGCCAGTCTGGCATCCCCTATGCTCCACTGTGAGCTGGAAGAAAGCAAGCAGAATAGCCAGGGGGACATCTTGTCCCCCACCCTGTGCCATGGCTTGACATGAGGAATGTAGCTTGCTGTGGGAGAGAGGAGATGTACTTGCCCCAGAGTATAGGCACGTTGTCACAGTCACCATAGCCACTTGGTTGCTTTCACTGTCTTCCTTTCCCCTTTCTGGAATGCCCAGATAAACAGCCTACAATGAAATCTGCACAGTAACAGTTTTCTTCCTTATAATGACTTGATACAGTGGATTTCATGAATAGAGATAGCAATAGTGACCTCATCATGAGATCTTGTAGGTACTCACATAAAAAAATAATAAATAAAGTCTTCAGAGTGCCTCAGTGTTGCTGTCATGCCTGCAGTATGCACTGCAGCTTCCTACCAGAGGCTAGCTTCAGTTCAGAAGTACTGCCACTTCAACTGGAAGCCAAGTTGAATGTTGGACCCTACTTCTTGTCACAGTGCTGGGGCAAAATGACTCTACTACTGTTAATTTTTAAGGAAGTGTGGCTCTACTTGGCCCGTGTTATTACCACTGCACAACGCAGCTGTGTACCTACTGCTCAGACTGCTCTTTCTGTCTTGTTTAGAATTCCAGTTTCATGTATAACTTCAGAGAAGGGGATTTGGGGTCCTGAGTTACTCAGAAATCTTTAAAAGTTCCATCCTTAGCTTTTAGCTATCTGAATGGACTAATAATTAGTCAAAATCATTCCATAACTGAAATGGTGAGAGTGAGATACTGTGTATATTGAGTTGTTGTCCAAATGGAAACTAAAATTCTCACCATGCTGTGAAATTCATAGTTAATGACTAATAATATAACCAGTATTAAAACTAACTTAATCTAGTCTTACAATGCTTGCAATAGATGGACATTCCTCTTCAGAGTTAATTTTCAGGGTGCTTATAAACATCACGGTCAGTTTATTCCATTTACTCACTTGCTTCATGGTGGATAAGACTTAGGTAAAATTATCTGTACTCAGTAGGTACCCATAGTATCATCCAATCATGTAAATTCAGGGGCACTATTTTTAATCAGACAATATAATTGGTACTAATCTTGAAATAAATGGTGCTCCTGAGAAGCAGGAGCTCCTGTCTTCTATGGAACACCATCTGTGTGGCTCATATGCAATCAGCAATATTTATATTAAATGCTATATATTCTGCCTCCTCTACTGTTTGATTTCTCCTCTCATCCTATGAACCAAAACAGGAGTCACAACACTCGAGTTCTGACAAGTAATTTCTTCCCTCAGTCCATTTTGCATACCTTGTTAATGCAGCTTTGTTCAGCCCTTTTGTCAACCTACAGTGCTCATAGTACAGCCTATCTGCCCAGTGCAAGTTCTTTAGTTTACTTTCATTGTAATGTCTATAAAGCTTTTTATATATCCCCTTCATATTTTCTAAAACTTTACTCTTTTCTCCATTTCATTGCAGTCATATGGATCTCACATTGTCTTGTCCCAAAATATCACATTAGATTATCTCCAGAAACACTGTTCTGCTTCTCATTTACTAGAAGACCACTTTCTTTTTGTGTGTGTGTGTTTTTTTGTTGTTGGTTTGGTTTGGTTTGGTTTTTTTGCATGCTTTTAAAAGGCAAAATTGTACTCTCTTGGCTAAAAAAAATTAATAAAATTGAGCATACATTTTTCACATCGCCATTTTGCTAACAAATGTGTTTTTCTTGTTCTTTCTCTTTTCTTACATGGCAAGGGGTTTGTAAGCAAACTGGATGAATTCATTCACTGGTTAAATGAAGCCATGGAAACAACAGAGAATTGGACTCCTCCTAAAGCAGAGACAGACAGCCTTAAACTGTACCTGGAGACACACTTGGTAGGACAAGATTACACTATGATTATTATCAGTAATTGAAGTGTTCTGCTGTGCTTTTTATTTGATTATTATTTTTTAATTACTAATGTGCATCTATATTTTAATGTAAGATTTGCAGCATTACAGTTTATTTTAATGAAAATAGCAACAAATTATTTTCTGCATTTGAAATATGTACTGATGGCTTTGTAAAGATAAATTAAAAGTCAGAATTACATTACAATTCAGAATTTATCTCCAAAACTGAAAGAAAATGGCAGTAGCAAAAGGAGAAAGGATAATGTTTTTTCTGCTGATCATTCTAGGATTTTTACTCCACTGTAACATTAACAAAAGTCTTTCTAGTGTGTAACTTATTCTCTCTCCCATATTTTTAACACACAGAGTAATTTAAATAAAAATATGAAATAGTTAATAATTTTACTTGATGTACATTTCTGTCATGTAATTAATACAACTGTCACTAACCTTGTTCTTGTGCAAAAAGCTAAAAAATTGAGTGGAAGCAGAAAACATTTGGATGAATAATCTTCTGAATATATTACAGGCTAGATTTATAGATTGAGAAATATTTGATAAACCTTATGGGACTTTCACTGAATTCTTCTAAGAGCTGTTTCTCGTTCTGAGGTGAAACAAAGAGCTGCATTAAATCAGGCATTAAGTCCTCAAAAGTAAGATTTAATGCTGAAGGTAGAGAATAGAGCTCAATGTATGCTGTTCAATGGGCAGGTGTCTTAACAGGTAAACTAATCTAGCTAGTAAAAGGAACAAAAAAAGAATGGAAAATCAAGCAAAGAGATTTTCTCTCATTCTGCCAAAATCTTAGGCTCTTGCCAGTATGAAATGGAAGATACACAGTGATACCACTACCTTTAGCCAATGACCTAGACATCCCACTTAGATAAAACAGTACATTAACTGAGCCCACAACAGAGCATCAACCCCCAAAGCTCAGTCTCATTTCCAGTCTCTGATAATCTTATGGTAGAAAAGTATTTGACAGTCCCAGGAAGTCATGTGATGCATTGCAGGAAAAAATGTCATCCTAATCTCTACTGTAATACCAGAGTGACCATTATTAAATTAATTAAGTATACATTAACCACATATACAATTAGAACCAAATTGAAAACTGTCTTCAGAATTTCAGCTATAAAGCAAGCTCTTGTGCCTTTTCTTCTTAAACAATTTCTGTTGTAATAGCACCCAGGGGCAGTCAGTAAATTGTGGTAGTCTATCAAATGCAGTATGAAGACACTGCATTTTTGCCTTACTTTGTGGATTTTGGGGTTTGGGGTGGAATTGTTTTTTTTTCCTTGTGCTGCACACACTTGGTCCCATGATTCCCACTGTGTTTGCAGGTGCTCTGAAGATACAGAGCATGTTGTAAAATCAGACCTCAGAAAAGGCACTGGTCAATTTGTTTTCCTTGTACTCTGCAACATGAAACTTTTGTCAAGATAAGTTTTTATGAGTAGAATTGCAATTTTCCCTCTTGACTGGATAAAAAGAAACATTTTACAGGAACAGGACAATCACCAGGCTGAGTACTTCTCACAGTTAATTTCTTTTTCCCTTTCTTCCATGGCGAGGAGCACAGTAGCTCATTTGTAGGCAAACGACTTCCAACTTTGCCATGTGGTTCTCTGAGAGGTGAGGCCAAACCCACCTATATCAGACTGGAATGTGGAACAGTAGCTTAGAGTAGTAGCTTCACTGCTAGAGGTAGTCTGAATAAATGAGTATGTGGGCACCTGTACAACCTCACTTTCCCTTGCCAGCACCTGGGTTCCCAGCTGCACTCTCTATATCTGCGTATCTTTGGGGCAAGAAAATCGTTATATGCTTCAGGATGACTATGTTATGAAACAAGTTGGGTTTTTCCTTTACTTCTCTGAAGAAATAAAATGTCTAAAGAGCAGTTCAATTTCAATTTGAAAATATTATAATTATTTTTATGGCATCTATAGCCAGTGAAAACCCACTGTATAACCTGAAAAAACATAACTCTGAGTTTTCTTTTTTGGATTTCAAAAAAGATATACTATCATACCAGTTTATACACAGCAGAAAAAAGAGAGCATTTTTATAGCAGGGAAGATAGTTATTTTTATTAATTAGATTGTCAGCTTTTCAGTGGCATTTATCTGTCAGACATCCTAATCTGTGTTTAAACAGAAGTATATGAACTTCAATTCTCATTAAGCTCAATGTTGAAATTTCCCTTAGTTGAGTATTGTAAGACTGGTGATCAAGGTCTTTGTGAGGGACTTTCTTCTTTTGCCAGTCAGGTTATACATGTTGTTGGACTCATCTAAGATCTGTTGAAGTAAAGGACTTGGAACTTAGAATTTTACAAGATTAGGTTCCAGACTTATGAGTTTATAGTACAGACACTGATAGCAAACTAACTTGGAAAACAAAGAAAATGTCTTGGTTCTTTTCTATGTACTGGATCTACACTAGCAAATCTCATAACTATGATTCCTCACTAATGTAGATTTTCTCATCATAGAATAAGTGAAAAGTCGGTGTAGATAAGTATTTTTATTAGTAGAGACATGGCCTTAGCCTTTGGCACAAGTTATCAATTTCACTACCTGTGGTAATGGTTTTCTTGGAAATATGTTTGTTGCGATAACAAAATTAGTGCCATAAAGAGAGAATATTTTGCATTCATGAGTGAAATCTCTCCTGTCAAAATCTAAGAAGAGGAGAACAGAAAAAATGTACTTGTTCCCTTTCTCATTATTGGCTGGGGAAAGTCCTGCTAAGGCAGCAAGGACAGGGTTCTGAGCATCCTCCTAGTTTTTCACTTTGTAAAATTCTAGACTGTCATTTTAGGATTCCAGTGTAAACTGTTGATAAATGATTGAATTTTAAAGTCTCTCTTCACTCAGCCTTGCTTTTCACTATCTTTGACATTTTGAGAAATAGTGTGGCACAGACACTTAAAGAGATTGTGTTTAAAAAAAAAGGCATCACAAGAAACCTACAACAAAACTTATTTGAATCTTTGCTCACATGAGGAGTCAAATCTCTTGAACAGGATGGCGATGTAAGTCTCTGTTAACAAGCATCATGTCATGACATCCTTCAGCTTAAATTGGTAGCATTCCCCAAACAACGTTGCTTAATTCTTTTATATGATCTGGCAATATTGTCCACCTAGGATGTTAATCAACACTTTGAAGCAGACGAATAGTGTTTGTCTATTGCTCTTGGCTCAGCAAGAGCTGCCTGCAGGCATTTCTGTAAGTGTCTGAAGCTCCTGAAATAGTGAAGCACTTTGTTGTGAAGGTGGAAGGCAGCCTCTCCTCAAGTTGATCCGTTTTTCCCAATTATATCATCTGTGCAGAGACTAGCTGGAGAGTTCCTGGGTCACCCAGGGAATACATGACTAAATGCACTGTGTGCACAAAGGCACGGGCCTGATACCCAAATATGCTACAATTATAATTATTGACTGTAGGACAAATTGGAATTTCATTCTTAAATCACAGTTACAACTTAAACTCCATAGATTTTTCCGTGATGAGTAACCATACAGTTTGCTAAATAGTATGATCTTTTCCTATAAATTGAAAGGTAGTCTACATATTGAATGTGTGCCACAATAGGCAATCTTCAGCGTGGAGGACTTTTTCTTGCAAATTTTAACACCAAGTTCCCTGATGTTCTGCAGAACAGAAGTTGCTATATGCTTCATTTTAGATAACACCAAAGCATAAAGCTATAAATGAAAATGCTATCAGAGATCCATGGAATAGTGATTGAAATTATTCTTTCAATTTTACAGGTCTTCACAACTGAGTAACATCAGTTAAACTGATTTGGGAGCTGCGTGCTTCCCATTCATATGGAAGGGCTGACATGGAGCAGCCACCACTTGAACATCTGGCACTCTGCAGGCAGCCACCCAAGCCAGCAGATGTCGAAAACACTAATACGTTTTCATAAAACAGGGGTGTTTTTCAGGAGAAATCTACTTTCTCACAAAGGCCTCAGTCAGTCCTGCTAGAGAAAAAAGTGAGGCAGGTTTTGAATTTTGTGAACATTTAGGCTCAAATCCATTCCCAATGAAAAGAGAACCTCATTTACCTTACCAAAAAAGGAACTTCTGAAAATGGTTTCTGATTCATTTTATCTTTTGTATCCTTTTCCGTTATGCTGATTCTTTCCCATTGGCAACCTGATCAAAATCAGCTACTAACAGACTGGTGGTATGCAAATCAATTTTCATCAAAAACAGTATCCTGAAGGCAGCTTATGAGCTAAAAGCATCTATCTAGGTGGTACTGCTGTGCTTGTGAAACCGAGCACACTTTCTTACCGGCTCGACAGATAAGAATTCACCATATTGCTCTTGACCATTTTAGTTTGCTAAAACAGACGTTTAACTTTATCCCTGGCCGTACAAGATGCGTTGTTTTAGCACAGTAAAAGAAGTAAGCTAGCAAATGAGGAAATGTGAAGAACTGCTGAGGGAAAGGTTTAGACAAGAGGCACTATATATATTTGCTGAGGACTGAAACTTTTAATTCTGTAGTCTCAACTTTTTCCTTTGTTGTTAACACAGTACTTCATTTTCTTGTTGCTACACAACTTCTAGTTTACACCATACTGTGGTGAACTCTTAGGTTTTTTGTCCTAAACCATTTCTGTGTCTAGTATCATATTTAGAGCTGTGTAATACAAGTCTTTTAAATGGGAACCTGCAAGTGAAAAAGATAATTTGTTGGAAATTCTTAAATCCTTCTTGCATTATTGGTAGATGTTGGCAAACAATAATTTTCAGTAGAGAAAAAATTAATTAGGGAGAAGTCTTCTTAGAAATTTGGAATTAGTAGTCAGGCACTTTTGTTCTAACAGTCTTACTCTTAAGAATTTGTGTAAAATTCTGAAATCCTGAGTACAAAGAACAAAGAAGAGAGAGAGTAATAACAGATTTTGCATTTTTTCTTCAAAACCAGATAAAGAATGGTCAGTTTCCATGT